CTCCGCCGTTCTACTTCTCAGGGGGTGTGGCATATGCTAATGAATTATGCTAATGAGCTCCGGCAGCTCTTTTTCTACAAAAAGACCCCTGCCCAAAACCTTTTGAAATGGCCTCTGCAGGGATCTGCTTCAGGCATCAATGGTGAGACATTAGAATGTTGGGGGGGGAGAGAAGGGCTTCTAACTGGCTCTATCAGTAAAAGGGTGGGGGAAGGGCCCTTTCCAGGCCTCTTTTGGCCTTTCAGGGAGGGAGGGAGGGAGCCTTGGGGCCAGGCCTCACAAGAGCTGACAGTGCCAGGCTGGGGGATTTCTAGAGATTTTGTGGTGGACTCCCTTCCTCTGCCCATCGTCAAGCACTCCTGCCCCAACAGTTGCCTGCACGTCTCCCACCTGCCTCACCTCCTCGCTCTGTCTGCTCATGAGCCATCTCCCCGTCCCTTCGGACCTATCCCCAGTGGCACCAGGCAGCACTAGGCAGCGGGTGAGCTGGGGGAAGCAGCCGGCAGCAGTGGGCCCTGCCAGAAACCACGGGCCCCCGTGGCTGCCCCACCTGAGGGTATGCTGACGGCGGCCCAATCAACAGGCAGCTCCTTTGTCATTTCCTCATTCACGTTTTCTTGCAAGTCGTCACTGGGTTTTCTTGCTTCTGAGTGTCTGTGTTTCTCTTACTTAATTCTGTCTCTTTTCTGAATAGACTTCCCATACATTGTCCTACTTGGTGGGCAGTCGCTTTCCCCCTTTTGTACTGTTGCACTTTCTTCATAGCTTATTTTGGTGGGAGCCTCCGAAAAACCTGAATGATGTTTTCACCCTTGATTGCTGGCTGGTCTCTCAGGGTGAGGAGATCTGCTCCGCCACCACCCCCACTCGGATCACAGGCCCTGTTTCGCTTATCTTTCATCAGCGAGCAAGCAAAATTTGCCCATAAACACATGAAAAGGGAGTTGAGGGGGAGAAGGACACGGATCCAGGCAGAGAGCTTGGAGGTGCAGGGAAAGGAGGCCGTAAGGCTGGGGAGAGGGCACCAAACCTGGCTCAACTAGGAAGGGTAGGTCCTGAGACAAACTCATTTTCATCTATTAAAGCCAAACAGCCACAACACATTTATGACATCTCTTTTCTTTGAA